AAAATTGCAGTTCTCTAAAAAATTTTTTAACTGTAGTTCTCTAAACAAATTACATTTCTCAAAAAAATTTTTGAACTGCTGCTCTTAAACTCCATTTCGCAGATCAGTTTACCACATGTATACTTAAGTAGTAATTAGTTAGTCTTTACTACACGTATAAGTAGTAATAATTGTCGATGACAGGTCATGGGTTTGTGGAAATTAAGCGTCAGAATTAACCAAATGCTCTGAAAACCAATTTTATTCCGTTTTACCAGACGATTTTCTTTTCGTTTCAGTCATCCAATTTTAAGGTGCGGCAAAGATGGGCATCAGAAAAATGGATGCTCGGAACAAACGCTTTCAAATAATAATTGATAATATTAAGTCACTGACAATTATTTTATTTAATTCCTTAATCAAACAAATTAAATACATTTAAACTATTAATTGTAATAGTAATTTTAATTAGTTAAAATAATTAGGATTAATTATAATATCTAATAAAAATTGATAATAATTTGGTTGACAATTAACCGGTTGCCTGAAAATTTCACGGCAGTAGCCACAGTTTTGCAGTTATTGCTGCAGCTATCATCTAATTAATTCAGTTATTGCTGCAGAAATCAGTTAATTCATGCAGTTATTGCAGCAGAAATCGGACAATTCATGCAGTTATTGCTGCAGAAATCAGTTAATTCAGGCAGTTATTGCTGCAAGAAATCAGTTAATTCATGCAGTTATTGCTGCAGAAATCAGACAATTCATGCAGTTATTGCTGCAGAAATCAGACAATGCATGTAGTTATTGCTGCAGAAACCAGACAATTCATGTAGTTATTGCTGCAGAAACCAGACAATTCATGTAGTTATTGCTGCAAGAAATCAGTTAATTCATGCAGTTATTGCTGCAAGAAATCAGTTAATTCATGCAGTTATTGCTGCAGAAATCAGACAATTCATGCAGTTATTGCTGCAGAAATCAGACAATTCATGTAGTTATTGCTGCAGAAATCAGACAATGCATGTAGTTATTGCTGCAGAAGTTAGACAATTCATGTAGTTATTGCTGCAGAAATCAGTAGAAGCTGCCGCGTCTGTAAATTTTCACTGGGAAGAACTCCTACCCTAACAAAATTTAGAGTCGTCCCAGCGTCTGGTAATCCAAATCCGAAGCTGCCGCGTCTGTAGATTTTCACTGGGCAGAACTCCTATAAGAACTCCTACCCTAACAAAATTTAGAGTCGCCCCAGCGTCTGGTAATCCAAATCAGAAGCTGCTGCGTCTGTAAATTTTCACTGGGTTCGCTTGCATCGGAGACAAACTTTTCACCGCAGCCTCGCATTCATCATGTAAGTGATTAAAGCTGCGGGACCATAGTGGTCTCACGTCAGAGTGACGTGCATGGAACATTTGCATGGAAATCCAGGATATTGAGGGTTTCTGGATTTTAAAATCTCAATAAAAATCTTACCGTTATTCTCATTGACGCATTAAAGTTCAGGATATTGAAGGTTTCTGGATTTTAAAATCTCAATAAAAAATCTTACCGTTATTTCCATTGACGCATAGAGCCCGTCAAAAACGTGCGCATTTCAGTAAAAAACTTCGCAAATAAAATTGTCTAGCTTTCAATCAAGCCCATCCTGACAGTAAACCGCCTCATGGTGGTCGGTCAACCAGAGTCACCCAAAGAACGAGAGACAAACCACCAAACAATCACCCACCACTGGAGTCATCAAGCAGTCACCTAAGACACGAGAGAAAGTCAAACAGTCACATGACCCGAAACAAGGAGTCATCAAGCAGTCACCTAAGACGCGAAAGATAGTCAAACAGTCACATGACCCGAGACAAACAGTCATCAAGCAGTCACCTAAGACGCGAGAGATAGTCAAACAATCACCCGACCCGAGACAAGCAGTCATCAAGCAGTCACCTAAGACGCGATAGATAGTCAAACAATCACCCTACCCGAGACAAGCTGTCACCTAAGACGCGAGAGATGGTCAAACAATCACCCGACCCAAGACAAGCAGTCATCAAGAAGTCACATAATATAAGAGAGAAAGTCAAACAGTTACCCTACCCGAGACAAGCAGTCATTAAGAAGTCACAAAAGTCACGAGAGATAGTCAAACAGTCACCCTACCCGAGACAAGCAGTCATCAAGAAGTCACCTAAGACGCGAGAGAAAATCAAATAATCACCCGACCCGAGACTAGCAGTCATCAGTCACCTGAGTCTCGAGAGAATGTCAAACAATCACCCGACCCGAGGCAAGCAGTCATCGAGCAGCAACCTAAGACACGAGAGATAATCAAACAATCACCATACCCGATACAAGCAGTCACCAAAAAGTACCTAAGCTTAGGTGAGTGACATAAATCACTCACAAAATCACCTTGCGTACACCAAGTAGTTCCCAAAGCAGCAACCTCGTCAGAGAGAGTAAGATCAAACTACAATGCGGGTGATTACAGACCAACTTACATATGAAAAGCACACATACATTACACACCAACCTACACATAAAATGCACACCCTCATTACACACCAACCTATACATGAAAGGCACACATACATTACACACCAACCTACACATAAAATGCACACCCTCATTACACACCAATCTATACATGAAAGACACACCCACATTACACACCACCCTACACATAAAATGCACACCCTCATTACACACCAATCTACACATGAAAGACACACCCACATTACACAACACACGTACACATGAAAAACACTCCCACAATACACACACACCTTCACATGAAAGACACACCCACATTACACAACACACCTACACATGAAAAACACACCCACAATACACATCCACCTACACATGAAAAACACACCCACATTACACAACACACCTACACATGAAAGTAGTCACCCACGAGCCACCGGTACAGCAGAGGTCAGCTCGTCAGATGGCGCTGAATATTTCACGCCGGACATGGAACTGTCGGACGGTAGTTGTTCCTCTTCCAAATTGGACGAGGACGGCGAGCAGCTCACAAGATAAAGCCAATAATATTTCCGGAGCCAATAAAAGATAGAGCCAATAATATTATTAATATTAATAATATTATTATTATTACTGCATCGATATTACCGGAGCCCTGCATGGCTGCTGGATGGGCGAGCCTCGTTTATTATTGTTACGCCTCGTATCATCTCGAGGCCGTTTTCCCACACTGAATTATTCAATTATGTTTTCAAGATTTTGTTTCAATTATTTGATTTTGTTTCAATTATTCGATTTTGTTTCAATTATTCGATTATTTCAAGACTTAAAGGTTTTGTCTAAAAGAATTTACTCCTAGAGAGTTCGATTTTATAGCTGTTCCGTTTTGAGGATTAAAATTGGGGTACTATTTGCTTCAATAATTTTATTAGGTCTTCTGTTATTCCATTTAAATCAGACGTGATCGAGTATTTTAATTTTATTTCACTGAAAATCTATTGCATGGTAATGATGATGCAGGATATTTCTTTATAATTAAGAACTTTGTGGCATTAGGAAGTCGGCTGAATTATTGTGGTCTTTAAACATTAAATTCATGAATTACAACTAACCAATCTCCGACAGAACCAATCAACCCACTATGCTAATTTCCGACGATTGCAGATGAAACAAAATAAATAAATATTTTCTATTTATTTTTTGTTGTATTTGGATGTGCTTGAATCTTGTACTTTTAAATATTTAGGGGCCAATCAGGCGCGTGGATATATTTACCAGGATATTTATCACGATATTACCTCGGAATTTTGTCCATAATTGTGAAATTCTGTTACGTTACAGATTGGACTGTAATGTTAGACTACATAATTAAAGTATATTTTCACTTGATAGGCGTAGGTCTTATTATGAAAGTCAAAGTTTAAGGTTATTGTATAGTTCAAATCAGGGTTTGATCAGGAGTTTCGTACTGAATTTGTGATTTGCGTGTTATCTCTTCAATTACAATATTTGTGTTTCAAAATTATTAACTTAATTTGGCTGATGGGGTTAAGGATGGTGAAATTCGGGATAACGGGATTTAAAATAACAGAATTCTATAATTCCATGCATTATTGACTCCCAAGCCACGCTGACCTTATTTTCGTGTAATGAATATAACAAAATTCTAAATTCCTTATCAACAGTTATCTGGCTTGTTTATAAACCTGACATTTTATTGCTATTGCTGTTACGACAACCTCACTGCTATTGGCATGTGCATATTATTGCTGCTCAAAGACCTCCAAAAATAAGTTTTTATTATAAGTTCAAGAACTCAAATGGTTTTGTTCTATAGCAGAATAAGAAGATACAACTAATTGTCTCGCATTTGTCTAAGAACGAAAAATGTCTCATATTGCTTCTCTATAGCAGCTGAAGGAAAGATTCCTGTCGCAGTTTGCTCACTGGCTTTTTGAGACCTAATCTATAAGACGTGAAGAAAATAAAATAAGATAGATGTAAATATATAAAACAAGTAAATTACGTTAAGCCACAAGATAATGTAACGTTGATTGTAAATGTATAAATGGAAAGTTGATCGTAAATATATAAAACACGTTAATTAGGTTAAGCCACATGATACAATAATGTAACAATGATTATAAATGTATAAATGTAAAGTTGGTTATAAATACATAAAACACGTTAATTAGGTTAAGCCACACGATACAATTATGTAACGTCGATTGTAAATGTATAAACGGAAAGTTGATTGTAAATACAAAAACAATTTAATTAAATTAAGCCACAAGATACAATAATGTAACGTTGATTGTAAATGTATAAATATAAAGTTGATTGTAAATATATAAAACACTTTAATAAAGGTAAGCCACAAGATAAAGATACAATAATGTAACGTGGATTGCAAATTTATAAATGTAAAGTTGATTGTAAATTTATAAATGTAAAGTAAATTATGTTAAGATAAAAGATACAAAATGTAACACAGCAGCAAATAAGACAGTGTCGAAGGCAATCCCTGATCTTGCACCGACCTGCGTGTCGAGGGGTGACTCGTGTAGATGATGAGAATTGGACGGCAGCGATTTTAATCCGAGTGGCAGTAGCGAACGCTATTTCTTGGGGCTCTTCTGAGCGTTTCTTTGACCGTCGCTCCAATTCCAGGGACTCATCTCAAGAATTTCTCCAGTTCTCCGCGATGGGAAAAGATTTGGTGTAAACTCCTTAGTTATCGGAAACGGAAGGAGGGTAATGGCGAGGGTAGTGCTTTCAGGTCATGTGAGGTCGAGGAATGAAACCTGGGCTGAAGTGGAATTATTTCTGGCACCTCTCATATGAGAAATTACTGGGTGAAATTATGGACCTTTTGAGGTGAGAAATAATTGAATTTCCTCATGAGTGAGAGTGTTTCCTACGGGAAATTGTTGGGCCTTCAGTATTGAAAAATTATAGACCTTCTTCAGGGGCTAATTGCTCGACTTTTCCGCGGGAGTTTGGGAAAGGTTTAAGTTTTCAGTTCTTGAACTTTGCCGAAGCTCTGATCTTGGCGAGACAGTCTGTAAAACATAACAAAAGGACATTCATTTAAAAACATCTATTACATTAGTAAATACACGCTACTAGTTTTTCAGCAGTATAAAATTAAATTTGTGTGTAAGGTTCAACTCAGTATCGAAATACAATGTAGCAAAGATTCGCAGACACAAGTTTGAATATTAAACGACATCCTTATGTCCCTGAAAGAATTTTCTTCTACAATAAAAATACTCAAAGTTGGTTGCGTTAATGAATGCAACCAATTTTATAATTTGAACGAAAACGTTATAATTTTCTGTAAAAAATCCATCTATTTAGTTTAGCGACTAGAGCTACCCATGTTGAGAGTTCAAATCTCGTTGGATTACAAGACGGGCTTGAGTTAATGGATTTTCCTCGGTAGGCCAGCGTTGAGGCAGTTCTAATTTTTGGATAAAAATTCGTTGCTCACCCAAACATAAAAAAGAACAAATTCATCTGGTGTTCGTTTATCAACACTATTTCAAAATGATGATCATCAGTCACGTTCCACACTATAAATGCTACTTGTGGAACCATTACTTAGATATGCGAACATGTAGTTAAATATACAAGCATTATATTTTGGAATATTTTTGAATTACAATTCATCATTTAAATTGTATCAGATTAAATCCATCATACGTTCTCCATTCGTATCGTAAAATACATTTACTAACAATTTGCAACAACCTTTTGACCTGGTGTTTCTGGAAACCTTTTTTTCATTATTTTTCCCTACTAACAGCAAGCTTTTATGGCTTAATTCTGGCCTGGTCTCCCAGCCCAACGACCACATGCATGGCAGCTAATGACATTTTTAGCGTATTTTCTTATTTATGGAAAAAATTCACTGTTGTGCTCGCCATGTCCGTCTGTCTGTCTGTCTGTCTGTCTGTCCGTCCGTCTGTCCGTCCATCTGTCTGTCCGTCCGTCTGTCTGTCCGTCCGTGACTTCACGTTTTCGTCGACGAGAAAATGCGCTTTCTGTCACTCACTGCAGTGAGTACTGAGTTATATTTTTTAGGAAATTACCTTACATGGCACCGCGAGCGTGTGCGGATCAGCGCCATGTGATCGTTTGTCAACTGGAACTATTCGCTTCTTGTATAGCTTAATTCTACGGTAAACAAAGATATTTGAATTATTAATCGATGTGAAACATCTGAAGGGTGTAACTAATTTTATCTAATAAATCATCACAAAAATGTATCGAGATATTTGCATGCAATTTGTGGGAAAAATGTTTATTCATTCAGTCAAACTCAATCTTAAATTGTCAAAAAATCAAAGGTTGATAGAAAAATTCTTCCAACCATGCTCACATATTTTGCCTGAGATAACTGTAACTGCCATAACTATAAATAAGAATAATAAGCCTGATTGAGGATCGCCTAACGAGAAGAAACGACAAAGCTTTGGTCTCATCCCCAAGATTAAAGTTCGCTTTGTAACAATGATACCGAAAATCTCGGACCGCGACCACTCAAGCCAAAGGAAGAATCATTGCTGGTTGGCCAATAACCAATTTAGCGCCTAACTTGATGGCTTTGAAGTATCCTCGTGTCTGATTGGTAGATGAGCTGGTGATTGCAACCGGGGATACTATGGTGAATCCGGTTAGCTATTATTAGTTTTGGTGAGTTATTTGAGAACTAGGACTGAGTGAAACAATGCAAAAATGCTAAAAAATTCATTGATACGTAAGTAATCATTGAGAAAATATGAAAGCAGTGCCTAATCTTTGCTTGGGATTTGTGTCTAAGAATTCCCAGATGGAAAGCATTTATAATATAATAAAATAAGTAGCAAAAATGTACTGGTTTTTAATCCGCACAATTATAATCACACGTGCTAGAGGAATTTCCGCAAGCAAATGAAGAAAACTCAATTTTTTGAATGGTTTGGAACCTCGAAAAAATGTCGGCAGAAGTTTTTTCAGATGCATCTACATGGATCCTTCCGCAAATATAACGAAAAGAATCAGCCCACCATGACGAGAAAAGGTCTATTAACCCAGATAGTTGTTTCAGCAACAAAACACAAATTTTTGACTCCATCTTCCAGCATATCCAGTGCCACTTCATTCAAATTTGCGGCCACGTTCGCAGCATTTGTAATGCGGCTATAGCACTTCGCTGATGTGCCCTTGTCCTGCATCGTAATGCCCTCGCTACCCTCTTCATTGCACTCAAAATCGACCCTCGCGCCGCTCCTGCCCTCATCTCCTTTCACACCAACCATTCCGAGCTTCTCTGAAACCATTTGTTTCTCAATACTATAATTCACTAACCTTTGATGAACGATTTCCATATTTAATTAAACATTCTACCAATTGCTACATTAGCAAGTTGAAGGCTAGGAAGTTCCATGCGTGCGTTAAAGGGTCACTATATTTCACTAACCTTTGATGAAGATTTCCATATTCAATTAAACAATCAACCAATTGCTACATTAGCAAGTTGAAGGCTAGGAAGTTCCATGCGTGCGTTAAAGGGTCATTATATTTCACTAACCTTTGATGAACGATTTCCATATTTAATTAAACATTCTACCAATTGCTACATTATCAAGTTAAAGGCTATAGTTCCATGCGTGCGTTAAAGGGTCTTGGAGCCACGTGGAGAGCCAAGATTACTTCCCCCATTGGCATTCCGCAGACTCGCCAACTTGTCCAGCGACTAGCAAGTTTAAATTCACGAGGATCTTTGGAGCAAAGTTGGATAATTGAGACACAGTGCAAGGCTGAGTATGCACCAAATATGGCCGCCTCGCCAGCATGAGAAGTAGAGGCTTCACGCTAAATTGAGCTTGCCTTAGATAGATGGCGTCTCATGCTATTCTTACGCAACTCAATCATAAGTTGGTACAGCGCGGTCGTGTCGGCAACATGTGGTGCAGTCAAGGCTTTTGCTGAAGGTTCAGTTAGTATTAATTAATAGCGTGTACGCCTAAAATATGTCCCTATATGTGACTCAATTATTAGAGAAGATGGTTGAATGAGACAGCATTTCAATGTGTTTCCTGAATTGTATAATTTTTCTGCTTATCTATTTTATTTTATGCCTTTAATTTAATTGGGTAAGGGAAATGCCCCAGCTCATTAACCGTTGAGAGCATCTCTAAATTCATACTCGTAATATAAATTTATCATCAATTAAAAAATAAACTGCTTGTTAATAATTCGATAATTATAAATATTTAACCTCTTTCTCATACGATGGCAGGACGATGCAGACAAGCGGATGCGTCTCTTTAACGCGCGCTTTTCCTGTTTCCTGAACAATCAAGTAATTTATCCCACGGTATAGCGGCCAGCTGTTAACGTGTCGAGAAATACTGTAAGATGGAATATAGCCAACATAATTGACTTTGATAGGAAATATTTTTAGGCACAAAAGAAATTTTCTCCAATACTTTAATTAAAGTTTGGTCTACAAATGAGGCAGAATGGATGTATCATTGAATTTTTTTATTGTAGATAACTTTTAAAAAACGTCGCGTTTAATTTGGGTATCACTGCCATCCTCATTTCTAGGGCATTAATTACAATAATTAAAAATTACAAATATATCATATTAACCCATTCACCCTGAATTTATCGGTAAGCAGTCAAAACCTAATTTTATCCTACGTTCAATTTCAGGTATTTTATCGATAAACAAGATAATCTTTAGCCCCCGACGATTGAATTTATGCAGATTAAACGATATGAAAAGGGGCTAAAAACATTTTCCTCAGCGCTTGCAAATGTAAAATTACTATTAAAATTCTGAACACAATAAAAACAGGTATCAATCGAGATTTAGTACATAGCAGTTTTGTTCGGAGGAAGCATTCACCATTTTTTCAACAATAATTTCTGAATACTAACGGTATTCTAGAATGTTTCAGGCCTTTTAATGTTCACTTAAATTCGAGCTAAGCAAGCTCGAAATAAAACATAACGTCATTCATTTTAATGCTCACTTTTCATGCGACGCGTTTAAAAAAAAGTACTCACTCACAGCGTTTCATGTGACGCGTTCAAAGATTTTGCAGCCGTTCCCGCTGTTGCTTTAGGACCCATCTGTTTGCTTCATATCTACGGTATTTTTTTCAGTCACACAGGAGCTCAAGTGACAGAGCAAACGAGCGACAACCTTCCTCGACCACCGTCAATAGAATACTACTTGTCCAACCCTCGCTAGTGGCCGAGGTGCGTTTGGTTCTGCATTGGGCTTACTCGGCTAGGTAGAAACGAGAAACATTTAAATATTACTTTATTTCTCTACCAAAAAGCAAATAAATTTCGAAGGGATATATGTTGAAATATCTTTCTTTTTCAAAAACGTTCGACTGTCTTGTTTACGGTTTAAGGGTTCTTAACATTAGAATGCATTGTACGGTATTTCGAATTCCTTCATAAAGAAGAATACCACAGGGTTCCATCATAAAATTCAAAATTTCACTGAAATAAATTTCTTACGATTAAATGTTTCAGGCTAAATTTCAATGTGAAAATTTTCTTCAATGTACTTTGTATTAAACTCACGTCATCCACGAATATGAATAAGATGTTTATAATAAATAATAAAACCGATTTATTTGAATATTTATCGGCAATAAATAATAAACGATTAACAATTAAATAAACATGTAAGTGATGTAACCAAAATGAATTGAATTTCTAAATTATTGAACTTTCATGAAACCAATTTGTTGACATATATTCCAATCGAAAGTAATTAAAATCTCAGGGGTAAACTCCGCGGATTTCAGAACATGGTTCTCTGCTTACAAGTTCTTATGCATTTATTTAGGAATTTCTGCAGCTTGAGTAATTTACAAGCAATTGCCAAAATTTTAAGATCTTCTGATCTTAAGATCTTATTGGTATTTTTAAGATCTTATTGGTATTTTTAAGATCTTATTGGTATTTTTATAGCTGGTCATATTGCTGAGTGGCAGCTGGTCATATTGCTGAGTGGCGGCCAATATCTTGTGCAAACAGATGAAAATTCGATAGAAATGTAAGACCATGAAAAAAGAAGCCATGAATTTTGCACTAAGGAAAAATCATGCGCAGTTGAGTGATAAATTTTACTGATAGGGAAAATCATAAACAGAGAAATCTAAATTTTTACAGACTGTAAAGGTCGTGAACTGAGAGGTCGTCAATTTTTCTGGTCAGGATAAACTATAGGCAGAGAGGTTAAAAGTTGTAGAAAAACGGTAATTACAATGCACAGAGATAATGAAAATTTGAACATAGGCAATGTAGAGAAAGGGTTTAAGTAGGACCATGAAGTAGTGCAACTGCATTTGGAAGCAGCGAGGCAGGAGGCCTGAACCGGAACTTCCATCTAATGGAAGGCTGCGACTGCACTGCCGCTACCGCCACACCAGGCACTCACTGTGTGCGCTCTTTTGGCCAACTGAAGACAGTAGAGCGCACGATTCTTCAGTTTTCCTAAAATTTTCTCATTTATTTTTATGATAAATTCCTTTTAATGCTAGTTCCGTTATGGCACTCACTGTGTGCCCTCTTTTGGCCAACTGAGGACAGTAAAGCGCACGATTCTTTTGTTTTTCTGAAAATTTCTCATTTATTTTTGATAAATTCCTTCTATTGCTAGTTCCGTTATGGTACTCACTGTGTGCGCTCTTTTCGCCAACTGAGGACAGTAGAGTGCAGGATTAATTTTAGATTTCTTGAAAAATTTCTCACTAAATTTATTTTACGATGAATTCCTTCTATTGCTAGTTCCGTTATGGTACTCACTGTGTGCGCTCTTTTGGCCAACTGAGGACAGTAATGCACACGATTATTTTTAGCTTTCTTACAAAATTTCTCACTTAATTTATTTTACGATGAATTCCTTCTATTGCTATATAGTTCTGTTATGGCACTCGCACTGTGCGCTCTTTTGGCCCTCTGAGGACAGTAGAGCGCACGATTCTTTTCAGCTTTCCTAAAAAATTCTCAATTATTTTTATTATAAATTCCTTCTATTGCTAGTTCCGGTAAAGTATTATTATTAAAGTATTGGTACTTTAAATTAAAGTATTAAAGTATTGGTACTTTAAATTAATATTAAAGTATTGGTACTTTAATATCGTCTTACGGTGCTGCTATGTAAAGATGCCGCAAATTTTTATTTCTACTTTTTAATAAGGGGTAGGATTGGTACTTTAATGTCATTTTACGCTTAAGAGATGTAATGTTAAGATGCCGGAAATTTTTTTTCTATATTTTCAATTAATGACCTATATCATTCGATCCCAAACTTACGAACTGTGTTCGTCACTCTTCGTCGGCGACAAATTCTTCCTTCCTTTTAATCAATAGGTTACAAAGTCAATTTACAAGCTTAGTTATCGTCATCACCGTAGCCATGGTTAGCCTGGCAGGGACCTAAGCTCGACTTGTGAGCGTTTCGGCAGTCGAGTTTCTACATTATTGAGCAACATATTCAGAGACGATATTTAATGCAGACCCAAGTTAGCGCTGTCGCTCAGACCTCCATGTTAAAGGAATAATCAGAGACAACGTCATTAAATATGCAGGATACGAAGCGTTTTCCTTATTTAGAAAGGCGAACTTCCAACTCAGGAAGTGATCGGTGTCCATCTAGAAGACGGCGCCGAGAATTTAAGATTATATAACATTTCAAATTAAATTATTGTCTTGATGAATAACCCGAAATCCGCGAAAAATGTTCTTGATCACATACTGCATGTAATAAAGAGCAATGCATTAACTAGTTTATTTATCATCTCAATACTAACTTCGTCTGCTAATCTATTTGCTATGATATGTACAAGAAAATCCTTCTAAACCGACACCATACCGACACCATTAACAAAATATTTAACATGGAATCTCCATCCAAGTATCCTCTTAATCTAATATACCAAATACGCACAATTTGTGCGCTTGGCATTAGGTGTTTCAAATACTGATAAGAAAGTTCTTAGAGCTGATGAGTTTTAAGTTCTTAGAGCTGATGAGTTTTAAGTTCCATAGAGCTGATCAGTTCTAAGTTCTTAGTCCTGATCATTTCTAAGTTCTTATAGCTGATGAGTTCTAAGTTCTTAGAGCTGATAAGAAAGTTCTTGGAGCTGATAATAAAGTTCTTAGCTTCATATTATTCAAGTATGATCACACTAGCTCTGGTCCCGTCACTCTGCTTAAGGAAGAACGACTGCCGCCGACGATGCGCGTCCAGCGGTGAAATTTACGCACGACGGAAAAAAGGTATGGACCATAAATATAATAATTCTTAGTATATATTTCGATTAAGAATAATTTAGTCATTCAAACTCTTAATGAATGTTGACGTGATCGCTTACTAACATGGCGGAAAATATACCAATTATAATTATTATTTTAAAATAATATAACTATACAGTAAAAATATTAATAACATAAATTGCGTAATTTTAGAAGTCCCATTAGCGTGTCAAGATGACGCTCTGAAGTGAACCAAAGAGATTCACTAGCTGTTACAACACATAAATTAAAAAAAGAACTGTTATTAATCATGATTGAAATTTCTCATTACGCAAATTGTTTAGAATAAAATAGATATTTTTAAACTATCATTTGACTTATAGATATATTCCTTATTAAACATAACCTTAGCTTAGAAAGATTACAATTGTTGTAGTTATAAAAACGCTGTTGCATCAATGAGACTTCAGGGTAAAGAGTTCGTGAAACCAGGCAACGTACGCAACGGCCACTAAATATAATATATTATTTCGTTTATATACTTTAATTAATAATTATAGATATTCCGTTATTATTAATAAATTACTCCAACTCGTGTAAATCATTTGGCAATTTTTGATTCTCAGCCCACGCACTTCAGTATATTACAGTTTGATGGACTACAGACAGTAATAAATAAGGTACAAATATACCTGGAACATACTAAATTAATTATTTCTGCCTGGAAGAAGACATACGCAAGCGATTACTCACTAGGATTTAGTGCTCCCTGTGACATCGGTTTGCTGCCCGGGATTCGCTTGAAGTTCAAAAAGTCGATCTAAATTTGTGTTTGAAATTGATGCATCATCGCTGTTTTTTTTTTTCATGCACATTTTATTGACTGAACATTGTAGAATTTTTTTTAAATTCAAGTTTCGATTTCACTACAGTGGCACACTTGTTTCAATAATTTTAAGCATAAATACAGCAGTTCGTTTGTAATTGTTACATTTTATGAGCTTGATTTGCTTTCACAATGTGCCGCGAGAATAAATAGAAGCACCAAAGTTGCGAACCCTTCGAGTCGTGCATGAACTCTACGGACACACCCACACACTCCAGCGCCAGCCGGCCAACTGAGGGACATGAGGCCTGGCTTGCCATATATAAGTGACGTGTCACCTACGATCATATTCCATTCTGTTGACATCGCAACCAACGAATGTGATTCATAAGCAATTGTATGACAATTCGGTATAAAGATTTACTTAATCCTATATAAAAGTTTACAATTCTGTATGAGTAGAGAAAATGGGATACTTCAGGAATAGAAGAAAAGGGGAATCATTTCAGTACATTTAAACGAACGAAGCTTCACGAAGGGCTCGTAAAAAAAATACGTTATTTGTTTTGAACGGTGTCTGCAGAATCAAAAAATTCATTCTACATTATTTCTGAATTATTCACATTATTTTTTATTTATTAACTAAACATTTTTACATGAGCTGACCCCAAAATAATTAGATTAGACATTTCACGTAATTATCACTTGCGATGTCATATGCAATATTATTTATTCACTGGTGCGCTATTATATTTATTAATAAGCAATTTTTACATTAATGTCACCACAATTATTAGATTAGACATTTCACGTAATTATCACTTGCTATGTCATGTGCAATATTATTTATTCTCTGCCCAGAGGTAGCGGGCGACGGTAGCCTGAGGCCGACGACACGCACGCCACGCAGGCAGTGAAGCCCTGCGAGTAAATGCCTTTACTGCTGCGTGATCTGCGCTGCTGCCTTGTGTTTTGTGCTTGTGTTGTGTATTTGTATTGTGTTTGTGTTGTGTACTTGTACTATGTATTTGTATTGTGTACGTGTGTTGTGTACTTAAATTGTTTGTTTGTGTTGTGTACTTGTATTGTGTGTATTTAGTATGTGCTTGTCTTTGTGATTGTGTTGTGTACTTGTATTGCTTGTTTGTGTTGTGTACTTGTATTGTTTGTTTGGTTTGTGTACTTGTATTGCTTGTTTGTGTTGTGTACTTGTATTGTTTGTTTGTGCTGCGTACTTGTATTGCTTGTTTGTGTTGTGTACTTGTATTGTTTGTTTGTGTTGCGTACTTGTGTTGTGTGATTTTATTGTGTGCTGTGTGTTATGTACACGCGCTGTGTGTTTGTGGAAAGGAGCTTTTGCTGTGTGTGTGGAAGTTTCATTTTGTTCAACAATTTTTAAGGCTTTTTTGCACCTGAAATAATGTCACTATTATGACATAATTCGATAATTAATGCAGTTCAAAATTGTTATTTTATGAATATTATTTTTTTCGTTGTTTCTCAGGGTTCTACAGCGGATTTTTTGGTCCTAATTTAATTTTGAAAAGCTGTCACCGAAACTAATTGGCATCAGCGGCTATTGGCGATGCAGTGAACGGTTATTGACGATGCAGTGATCGGTTATTGACGATGCAGTGAACGGTTGTTGACGATGCAGTGAATTATTGACGATGCTGTGAACCGTTATTGACGATGCAATGAACGGTTATTGATGATGCAGTGAACCGTTATTGACGATGCAGTGAACGGTTATTGACGATGCAGTGAATTATTGACGATGCTGTGAACCGTTATTGACGATGCAGTGGACGGTTATTGACGATGCAGTGAACGGTTATTGACGATGCAGTGAACGGTTATTGACGATGCAGTGAACGGTTATTGACGATGCAGTGAACAGTTATTGACGATACAGTGAACGTTTATTGACCACGCAGTGAACGGTTATTGACGATGCAGTGAACGGTTATTGACTATGCAGTAAACGGTTATTGAGAAGAAAACGAGGAACGAAGTCACAGCAGTCTGCGTATTGATCACTGCAATCTCTGCCTGTTACTGGAGGATGGATTGACAAACAGCTGTCGTGTTAGAATAGAATAGAAGTGTCGGCACTGAAGAAATAGGCCCATGGCCTGTTGCCGATTCTTGAATTTTTCGTGACTTGATTCAAAAGGGATCCGGCCTTNCTGGACTTATTGTTTGGTCCGTAATTTGCTAGGCATTTTAAGACTGAACATATGCTCCTGCATAGCTTCGTCTAGTCTGTTTTTGAAGATGTTCATACGCGGAGCGTCAACGATGCTATCTGATGCTATCTGTCGCGATCGCCAAAGCAATTGATGGCTGCACCACGCACAGCTAAACTCAAAGGCCGTATAATTATGTACATATGTTCATAGCCAAAATATGAATTGAATTTTGCTTAAACTGATGAAAGGGGTACGAGATATGTGCATCGTTCGCAGTGAAACATAATAATAACAACGACTGGTACTTAAAAAACGAATAAGGATTGGTTGAGGGGTCACCTATTGAATAATTTGGGCAAGTTTACGTTAAATTCAGAAGTATTTGACTGTATAATTTGCTATTTTTTGTTGGGGTTACAACTTTGTAAAGTTGGTTCTCAAAAGCTGAAGTTCTTCCAACCTATGCCAAAGTGAGAACAACATGTCTGGTTCAGTCACCACTGGAATGAGTTAAATCTAAAGACTGACAAAACGAATGTGTTCAGTCACCACTGGAGTGAGTTAAGGCTAAAGATTGACAACACGAATGGTACACTCTCAACTAACATCACGCCTGTTCTCAGGCAGGTTTATTACCCCAGAGTCTAGCCTCGTCTCGGGCAAGCCGGCGCTCCGCAGAACTGTAACTCCAGACTTCATCAGCAGGTTTACGTGCACCGTTTCAAAATAATCAATGAAACTTTTAGGCTGGAATGAAAATTCTTCTTAGAACACGTCGAGTAAGCGTCGTCTGTTGGCAGCGCTAAAAACTTTGCCAACCTTTACGAGGCCGTCAAACATGAGAACTCCGCTTGAAGAACGAACCTTAACCCGACATTACAAATATGAAGGCTGGAACAAGAAGTGGTCACTGATTTCTGACCAGAGACATGGGCTCATCCATGCCACAAAAATGAAGACGTTTAATGGATATTTCTCCCGGAATAGGATTTTGTGAAAACAATTAGGTAACCAGGCTTCAGTGATTCAACCACGGGATGGTGGATTCAATGATTTAATTGGGTGTGACTGGATTCGGTGATAGTGCTATGCTTAAAGGGACAGTCATTCACATAGGAAGATAAGAGGACTGAGTTCAGTTATTCTTCTTTGAGAAAAACGGAACCATTGACAGTTCTACGATTGAAATTATTTAAATGATGACGATATTAGAACTCGACCCCCGGCCAGAACGCTGGGAAAGTGGATGATTCATAAAAGACGATAGGGGTGGAGGTTCTTTGAGAAAGTGGTTTCTTAAGAGTCTTGGAAGGTGATTTTTGTTACGGTAGATTACTGGAGTTTATAATGTTATTTGGCGAGCGTGGCTTACAACAGAGTGGAATGATCTGTTGTATATTGTTGGGTCCTCATTTATCAATTCCAACTATGTTCCTCCGTACATTATGATCGTCTGGTCTTACTGCCTCACGGAAGACGCTAAGCCACCGAAAGATGAAATGTCTATCATTTAGGCCGTTGCGTGCGACGGTCAATAGCTTCAGCCTGGTCGGTGATGGGCCTAATTTGGTGATTTCTTCCCAGCTTTGCGAGCTGGAATGATTACTGATACTTCCTTGTTAGAAATTAAGGCATATTTATCTATGGTACGGGTCTGGCCAACGATAGATCGGCTCTAGTACGCCCATGATTTTAAAAATAGGACGGCTGAAGTCCAGGCTGAAAAGCCCGCATTAAAGTTCTCGCGGAAACTCGTTACAGGATCGGAGAAAAATTTCTGCCATCACCAAAAATCAAATATATAAATAAAATGTTTGATAAATTTACAGTCTAATAAAGGTATTAGGCTTAATAAACTCAACTCTTTATTGCGGAAAAATTAGTGTCGAGATAAATGGATGAAGAATTTGGTTTGAGGTGGAAAAATAAGAATTTAAACCTGGAAAACTAATGTGGAATGAATACATGAATTTAAACCTGAATAACTAGTCAGTAAGTGTCAAATTAATTAACTGTAAAAATATCAATCTTAATTTTTCTTCTCAGCGTATCCTGATGATCGTTTCGCCTCTGTGTGAAAAGTCTGCAGAATTCTCTATTTTCGTCAATAATTAGCTAAATTTTGACCATGCCTCTGGTAAAAGGCGAAATTATATTGAAACAAGCGCTCTAAGCTGACACAATAATAAATATAATAGTACAATTATTTAAGCTGCCTATTTAACAATGCTAAGACGCATAGTTTATATTAGGCCTTATGTTTTTTAATTTAAAGATCAATTAAAAGCAATTTTAATTGAATTAATTTAACGGGCTGTCTATTTTGCGTTACAAAATTATGAGCAAATTCAATGCAAAAATTTTAGATAAATTAAATCATTCGTAGGGGAGGGTTTATATTTTTCTATGAAAGGAGATCGAAACATAATTGTGTTGGAGAAATTATACTAATTTAATAATAAACGGCGAAAGTACCGTAGAGTTTCCTCCAGTTGTAACTCGCTGTATATTAGAAAGATATTCTAAGTAAATTGAACTTATTACAGTAACTATCAAACAAAAAGTATTTTTTTTTAATTTCACAATTTCCAGTATAAGATTTAAACTATATAGTATGGTGATAACTCAACTTACTAACATAATTCGTTCAGTGACTTGGTTCTTATGAAGAAATGTTCGTATGTGAAAACAATATTGTTATTTCATGTGTATTGGCACAATTAAATAAATTCTAGTATCGAATCGGTTCGTAAGCGCAGAATCGTTTCTGAAATTCTGTTCGCAAGTGGTCACTAACGAC